TAGCTTGTCTTGCCTGTTGGGCTTTTTAGCATTTCTAACATCTTTGAACTGCCCCTCCATATTAATTTCTCTCGAGTGAACTAACCTGGCATGAGCTCTGATTTCCCGAGCAGATCCTGCCTGGTTCAGTGTGTTGAAATAAGTTATTGACTTACATCATTTCAGATGCAGATGACTTAATGGAAAACTTATATTTTGCTTCTATTAAGAAGCTTAGTCAGAATTGCTTTACAAACATGAAAAAATTATTACTACATAATTAATATATGCAAAATATTTTAAAATTAGGATAAAAGATTAACCAAAACAAAAAACTATTTACCTATCATTTAAACACCCCAAGATAGCATCTCTATTAATAATTGGTTATATTTACTTCTAACTTATATTTTCCATGTATACCTTGCCATATAGACAATATTTTTCAAAACATAACATCCCAAATTAAATGCATTTTTAGACATTTCTGTGGACTTCAATGACTATAAATCTTAAACTATGATCAAAATTCTTTATATTTTGTAACATGCTCTTTCACTTGAAATTATATTCCTCTCCACATCAATAAATACACATCTGTAGGAATTAAATGGTAGCACCAAATTCAAAGGCATCATATACCATTGTCTGCATAGACTGTGATTTATCTTCCCAGTGCCTACTGCTGGGCATTTTGATGTTCTTCACTGTTATTCGCACAACTGTGATAGACATCCTCACGGATAAATCTTTTCATCCTTACTACATAATTCCTTGGATAGAAATGGAATTACTTGGGTAGGAGGATATGTAATTTTAAGGTGTATCATACATATGGCAAAATTGCCCTCCAGCAAGGCTGTAGCGAGAAGCAATTCTTAGGTGCTCTACAATTTTTAATTGTGCTGATGTCAAATGGTGCTTGTAAGTGTCCTGACAACCAGAACTCTCCATTCATTGCCAACCACTACCACTACCTTATTATCATGGTAATTAAACAGTGGTCACAGTGAAGATAGGGGTGTTCAAATCCATTGAAAGGCTGGGATAATTGTGGTGCTCGTGGGGTGGTTCAAGTGTATTAAGTTCTGATACACTTTTGTGTCAAGTCAAGGACTTTGCTGCTATAAGTTGTTCAGCACCAATCTGATCTATACAAGTTCTGTCTTTTACAATAGTACAACTCCCTCATGCACAGGCAGGTGTCATTAGGTAAGATTTGGGGAAAAAAAAAATGCTTAAGATTCACAGTGTCCTGATTGCTTCATGACTGTAACTCCATGCAGGGTTTCAACCATGTATATTTAAATTCTTACAGGGAAATTTGAGGATTTTTTTTTCCTTGTTCATAAATATGTTTAATTCCCAATATCTTTTTTTTAATAGTATCTCTTGTTTTTAAGATTTATTTATTTATTTATACAAGCACTGGGTACAGTCAGAAGCATGGGAGGGTGAGAGAATTCACCAGAGCCAGAGTGGGGAGCAGAGCAGGCAGACTGACGAGGTACACTGTTGAGGGGAGCAGCGGGCAGCAGGAGAGGTCTGTCGCCATGTGGGACCCTTGTCCAGTGGCCGGGGATCGAACTGGTGCTGCAGAGGCTGCAGGCAGCTTCGCAACCCAGTGCTCAACCGCTGCACCACCTAGGGAGGTCCCAATTCTCAATATCTTTTAAGCAAGTTACTTTGGTTCCATGGGAAGGAGCTACAGAGGTGCTCAATAAAAAAAGGGATTAGAAAGAAAGGTAACCTTGACCTCCAGTGTTTGAACCCAGCACAATTCATGCTTTTAATATTACAACATCGCTTTCACTGCAAAATACACTAAAATGGGGATTACCTGATCTTGATCCCCCACGAGAGGAGGAGGAAGGGAAAGAGGAGTAGTTAAAATACTACTCTTGATTGCCTCGACACAGTCGATGGAGGAACATAATTCAGATAAAAATCATGTTGTTGCAGTTACAGAAAACCCAGTTCATGCTGGTTTAAACGGTAAAGGAAATGTTTGTGAAAAGTCCAAGTTCTAGTGAGGTTTGATCAGTCCCACAAGGTACCATGGGACAACACTCCATCTTCCCTCACATCATCTTCAACTAAAGACTGGGACCCTCATGGGCACAAAATGGCGGCCAGCAGCTCCCATCACTGTCTTGCTCCTGTGATCAGGGTCAGTGAGGAGTGAGGATTTCTCTGCCTGTGGCTCTTCACAAGATGTAAGAATGGTGTTTCGTAGAAGCCCCTTGCAAATGTCCAATTGTATCTCATTTGCTCAAACTGGGCCACAACCATGCAGGAAAACATCAAAATTTGAAGTACACATCCTACTGAATGCATATCACTTTCACACACAGCATGAGGTCAAAAAAAAATGTAAACTGAATCAGCCTTCATGGTTAATTCAGACACTTTGGTAGGGGATGGAGCAGACACTTTGACAGGGGATGAGCTGTGGTGTTCGGTTTCAACCATTCTGGAACCATCCCTACTGCTAGTGCCATGAGCGTTTCCTATGGTAATGTGCTCCACGCAGAAAGAGGGGCAGACAGCTCTGGCTCCGGAGAATTCTCTCACCCTCCCACACTTCTGACTGTACCCAGTGCTTGTATAAATAAATAAATAAAAATCTTTTTAAAAATTTTTAAAAAAAGAAAGAAAGAGGGGCAGAAAGCCTTACCAGGGAACTGACATCAGGACAGAGGATTAAGGGATACTGGGGTGTGAAAAAAGCAAATGTCCATTATGAAGATGTTTTTAGAAGTACACCTGGAGATCTTTACATGCCTCCTTGGTCTGTCTCTCCATTCACTTTACCCACCCCTCAAAAATGAATGGGTGTGCCCATTAGTTTCAGACAAAGTGTTGAAACCACCTGGTGTATCCAGATGAGCAAGATATATTACCTGTAATTCATTAGTAATAACTAAAGAGAGAAAGTTTATACAGCTCATCCTAGACTTACAGTGGGATTACAACCAGATATACCCATCATAAATTGAAAACATCATTAAGTGGAAAATGCATTTAATACATAACCTACCCCACATTATGGCTTAGCCTTGCCTCCTTTAAATGTGCTCGGAACACTTTAGAACACTGTAGAGTGCAATATCACATATCTCCAGTGCAGGAAAAGATCAAAATTCAAAGTACACATTCTACCGAATGCATATCATTTTCATAAACATCACAAGGTCAAAAAAATGTAAACTGAATCGGCCTTAAGCTGGGAACTCTCATATCTAGTTGACCTTACCTAAGGTTATCCCAAATGCTTTTGTATCCTATATACTTTATTGAGTGGACAAGAAGGAGCTGCAGTTGCAAGTACTCTGGGGAACTGACAGAGCCTCTCCCCTTATTCTGGGCTTCCTTGTAGGGGACAAGTACTGAGTGACCCATGACAAAGTGGCTGAGAATCCAGGAGGCCAATAACCACTATTTCCCTCCACTTCAGATCCCACCCTCCTGCCCACCTCCCTGCCACAAACATCTTTCAACCTTGATCCAGGTACACAACTCGCCTTCCATATCACACTTAAAAGGACCAGAGAGGCAGCCATCACAGCTCACTTTGATTTTCATAGATCATATGGGGGCCTCCACCCACTTTCCTGATGCCTCCTCAAGTATTGAAAAATACTCTCAATACAGTACTACCAATTAACCTTCATCAAACGTCACTTGACCATTTATTTCCCCTTTGCTTACTATACTACACAACAAATTAATACTTAATGCAGATAACAAAAAGCTCACTCCAGAGGAAATCACTGCTTGTGGGTGGTACAGCCTTCCATAGCTTTTGATATGTGTATATCCACACAGATCATTTTTCAAAAACCAACACAGCATCATACAATACTTTGTAACACAGCCTCTCACTTGAAGAACTTGGACATCTCTCTATATCCATAATTACACTTCCATCATTATATTGTCAGTACATTCATTAATTACTGCATGGTACCCCATCATTATTTAACCTGTCCTCCATTGTGAAGATGTAGAAGTAATTTCCAAGAGTTTGTTCTTCGAGCAGCATCCTGGCGAACAATTTTGTTGATGAATTTCTGAGCCCATGCAGGGAGATTCCCTTAGGATGCTTGACAGCAGAAAAATCATGCAACCCAAGGGCACCCACACCTTTACAGCATCTGGCACAACTTAACAAGATGCACTTCAGAGAAGTCATCTCAGGGCATTCCCTCACCAGCTTCATCTGAAAGCGCTGCTTTCTCCATAATTTCTTGGCATTTCCTTTAATTAAAAAAAAAGCTAATGTTGCAGGAATTAATTTCAAGACAGGATAAGCCAGATAATAGTCTTGTTGTTGTTTCACCAAATTGGTTGCTGAGAAAAGTGATGTTTATATGATAATATAGTCAACTTAACTCTCTTCTTTATGTTGACCTGGTACCAACCTCAGAGTAATGAATTTAAGTCTTGTGAGTTGCCCGCCCCTATGGCGAGGCAAGGGAGATGAATAGGAAAAAAGGTAAGAAAAACCCATGGATAATTCACATATAAAATCATAGCACAGGAATTTTAAGGGGGAAAAGAGCACACTTAGGCCTTTACATTTTTGTGATTCAGCTCTTCAAGTCAGATGCCAAGAACAATGATTGTAAATATTTGATCCTTTGCATTACTTCGAGTAAAGTGGTAATAACAGAAGCCTCCATTTATCAAGCGCTTGCTATGAGTCAGGAACTTGGCAATTAATTTAATCACCACAATACAGGAATTATTCTCCCCTTATGCTGAAGACATTGAGGCCCAGAGAGGTCATGATTTCCCAAGGTCACACAGTCACCAGACAGAACCAGAAACTGAGCTCAGGTCTACCCGTCCCCAGAGCCCGTGCTGTTTCCACAAGGCCCCTGTGGGTGTAGAGAAGGGCTCAGGAGCTCTGGGCCCCTCCTCAGACATCTCAGATGAATGATGAGCCTTCTAGGTCTGGCTCTATTTCTGACAGTTGTGCTAACACTTTTTTCTTTCACTCCTTGGCTTCCCATCAGGTCTTAGACAAGCCAATGAAGAGCATCAAGTATATGGACAAGGAAATAATAAACCTCAAAAAAGACCTTATTCGGAGCCGGTGAGTGAGCCCAGCATGGAATATGTCCATTGTTTAAACATATAGATGACCTGGCCAGGATAAGCAGGCTACGTGGAGGTACTTAGAGTCCTCCCCAGTGCCAGGGGACCCCAACCCTCCACATTAAGCAGAAGACTGCAGGAGGGTAGACCTGTAAAGACCCATTTCTTGGTTGGACTTTTCAGGGAACACTGGGACCAAATTTATCTCCCCACTCCAGCTCATGCCACACCCCAAATTCATATGTGGAAGCCCCATATAACTTACCCCCAATGTGACTGTATCTGAAGAGGTTATTAAGGATAAAATGAGGTCATAAATGTGGGCCCCTAACCCAGTAGGACTAGTGTCCTTATAAGAAGCGCAGAGACACCAGGATGTACTCCCAGAGGAAGGGTGCGAGAGGACACGGCCGCATGCATGGTAACATGGCCAGGGCAAGCCAAGGAGAAAACCCCCAAGAGAAACCAACCCCACTTTCTGGCACCTTGATCCCGGCTCCCAGCCTCCAGGATAGCAAGGAAATCAGCGTCTGTGGCTCAGGCCACTCCGTCTGTGGCTTCCTGTTATGATAGTCCCTCCGGCTGACAGTCTATGTGAGGCTAGTCCCCAGCTCCAAAGCTGGTGGAGCTCATTCCCAGAGTCTCCTGGGAAAGCAAGACCAAGAACGGCATGTGACCTGGGCCCTCAGAATCAAGGAGTGAGCCCCCCACAGCCCCCCACACCCCACAGTGGACATGCTGGCCGCTATGGTACCTAAAGCCAGACTAGAAGGTTTTGAGGCTGATGCCTTGGGAATGCTGGAGCCCCAGGCACTACAGCAAGGTTGAGTCAGGAAGCCAAGTTGTTATAGGGAAGACTGAGGGGCACTCTAGGACCCCAAACCTGCATGCTCTAAATGGGCCTGCCATCTGCCACATAAAAACAAACATACTCTTTGTGCGTAAGACCTGCAGTGGAAAAGAAAAGAAATTTTTTTTTTCATTTCTTGCATACACCTCTGGTGCAGGCCAGAGGTGCAGGGGGTGAGAGTGTTCACCAGAGACAGAGTGGGGAGCAGAACAGGCGGATCTACTGAAATACACTGCTGAGGGGAGCAGCGGGTGAGACAGGAGGGGTCTGCTGCACCATGTGGGTCAGCTCCGTGACCGCAGATCAAACTCCAGTCATCATGGTGATAGCACTGAGACTGAACCCCTAGGCCACTAGGCCACCAGGAAGGCCCGAAAAGTACTTTAATACAATTAGTGTGCAACAGAGAGAAAAGAAATAATATATTTAAAATAGTTTCCAATTAAGCACCCAGAGTTGCCCATCCCCTTATGGGTAAATGCCCGGCCAAAAAAGGCTGGCCCAAAGCAGGGCCACTGGGGCCTTGAAAGCCTGCCACAGTCTCAGGCACCTACAGATGGGGACACATAGGAGAGGGGCAAAAAGGACCAGGCAAGTCTGGAAGGAAAAGAGCAAAATCAAAACCCAAGCCAAGGTAAAGCCTGCCATTGTAGGCCTCCCACAGGTATCTCTCCCATGTCTGTTTCTTTCAAGTGACTCTTTCCACGTCCCCAAGCCCCTGGTACAAACTCAAGGCCGAGAAGCAAATGCAACTTCGTCACATGTCTCTGCGCCACATGCCTCCTCCAGGTTCTCTTCCAGGCTTTTCTGTCCCTTTTGTTCCTCCCCCCTTTTGTCAGTCTTTTCTAGTTTCCCCTCCATGCCCAGCTCTTCCCCCTCCCTTGGGAGGGGCAGGAAACCTCCCCTCTCTATGGACATCACACTGTTACAAAGTTAGCAAAGTGGCAGGTGGCAAAGAAAGAGGATTGCACAGGGCCTCCCCAGTGGCGCAGTGGGTTGAGCATAGCACTGTGAAGCTGTCCGCAGCCTCTGCAGTGCGGGTTCGATTCCTGGCGGCCAGGGAGATTCCCATATGGCATGGCAGACCTCTCCTGTTGCACCCGCTGCTCCCCTCAGCAGTGTTTTCAGCCCTTCTGCCTGTTCTGCTCCCCGCTCTTTCACTGGTGAATCCTCTCACCCTCCCATGCCTCTGGCCTGTACCCCAGCTCTTGTATAAATAAAACATAAATCTTTAACAAAAAAAGCATTGCATAGCTGAGGGTGATCCCCCCCAACAGGGTGCTGTACTCTGCTCCCCACTCATGCCTGGAGGATATTCTAGGCTTCAGAGGAAAAGTTCCAGGCTTCAGAAGGAATGGTTTAGTTGGGTCAATGGCATCCGTTTAGTTGGGTCAAGGTAAGGTTCAAAGTACTGGACCTCACAACCCAATCAAAAAATGGGCAGAAGAATTAAAGAGGTACTTCTCCAAAGAAGAAATGCAAATGGACAACAGGCATATGAAAAACTGTTCAACACCACTAATTATCAGGGAAATGCAAATCAAAACCACAATGAGATACCACCTCACTTCAGCGAGACTTGCCCACATTAAAAGAAACTGGCAACAACAAATGCTGGAGAAGATGTGGAGCTGAAGGGACCTTCTCGCACTGCTGGTGGGAATGCAAACTGGTCCAGCCACTCTGGAAAGCTGTGTGGAGGTTCCTCAGAACACTGAAAATGGATCTACCATATGAGCCAGAGATTCCACTCCTAGGAATCAACCCAAAGGACACAAAATCATTAATTCGAAAGGAAACCTGCACCCCTATGTTTACTGCAGCAGTAGTCACAATACTCACGATATGGAAACCAAGTAGGTTTCCATATGCCCCAAGTAGGTTTCTAAATGCCCCAAGCAGGCAAATGGATCAAAAAGCTGTGGTATATTTACATGAAAGAATATTATTCAGAGATTAAAAATGATAAACTCATGCCATCTGCAGCAACATGGATGCAGCTGGAAGGGATCATGCTAGACAAAATAAGTCAGAAGGAAAAAGATGAATACTGGATGGTCTCACTCATATGTGGAATACAGAGAAACCAAACAAGAGCTCAAGAAAAAGGTAAAACTGACAAGTGACCATAGATCCATAGATCGGAGGCACTGGGGTGGGGGAGATGGACTTGTTCCCCACAAGAGACATTGTTGTAAAACATTCACCAGCCTATCTCAGACCAGGGTTGAACTTTCTACCCACCCAGTTAGAATAGAGGGGGTTTGAATAAAGTGTGACGAAGGGCGGCTTTTCTGCCACCAGAGTTGGCAGGCTGAGTCTGCGACTCCTGCCAGACGCATTTGCCACAGAGCTGAAACTAACCAGAAGCTGACATCCTCATTGGATAGTGTTCGCCTGTTCAAGTGTGGATGTGAAGGAGAACACGGGAAAAAAACAAACAGAAAAGCCACAAGCAAAAAAAAAAACCCAGAAATGACAGTAGGTTCCCCCTGGCCACGTTCCTGGACCACACTGACATTTAAGGAACCAACAATTCCACTTCAGAAGGGAACACCCTGCTTTCAAGCGGCGGTCACCTCTCCAATCACGCAGACTCCACGGCCCCGTGGCCCAGCATTAAATGAGGCAAATTATTGGCAAAGATGTTATTTTTTTCCACTGACTGTTTTTCAAATCTAGTTTACCTCCTGTTTGAATCTTGCCCACCTTGAGCAAACACCTTGACTACCTCCTAGATTTTTATTTAATACTTTAGCCCTCTTATAATTCAATTGCACCATCCCTGCTTTCATGGCCAATTTAACATAATGCTAAAAAGAATAAAAATCCAACTGCTTTCCACCTCGCCTGTTCCACCAGATGTTCAGTGGCACGAAGCAGCTAGCTCCCTCCTTACTTGCCCGGTCTCGGCAGCGGTGGCTTCTGGAGGTGCCAGCTCTAGGTTGGTTCCGGAAGCCAAAGACACACTTAGCGCCCAAGCTGCCAGCGCTTTTCATTGCCAATGTTTTAAGGAAAATAAACCTCCCTGCGACTAAAACAATGGAAATGCTGAACCCAAAGCCATGAAGTGCCCACGGCAAAGTTTTGTTAGGGGCTGGCAATGGCACATCACCAGTGTGAACTCACCGCCCCCCACCCCAGCATCAGACCCCAGCAGGGTACAGATTACATGAGGGTTTGTGAGGTCCCTGCTTCCACCTGCACTGGGCAGACAGCTAAAGCAAGACGATTAGAAATAACGAAGGTGGGATCCACCTGAGTTTACGCCTCTTCTTGGCTCTTCCTCACTCTTCGGTGCTCATTCATTTTTTTCCAGCAACTATTTATTGAAGACCAGATACACACCAAGTATCATTGTATCTATCAGAGACAGGGCAGGAGGAAGAGAGACATAATTCTGTCCTCAGTGAATAAGAGATGATGAAATTGTCACAGGGTCGTCCCCAGGGCAAGGGGAGGTTCCAGGTTCCCTGCCCCACCCAGGGAAGGATGGAGCAGGGCAGGGAGAAGAATCGAGAGAAGACTGGCAGAAGGAAGCAAGGAGATCAAGAAGAGGACCTGGAGGAGGCACATGGAGCAGAGACATGTGAAGAAGTCGAGCTTGCTTCTCGGCCTTGGACTTGTGCCAGGGACTTGGGGGACATGGAAGTGTTACCAGGCAGGGGCACTCCAGGAACCCCCAACCCTGCCTGCTTTAACTGGGTTCTGCCATCCAACACATCAAGACAAAACATACTCTAGGGCATAAAACCTTTAATGGAAACTTTAATACAGTTAGTGTGCAATCAAGAGAAGAGAAAGCAAAGAATAGTTTCCAAATCAAGCACCCAAAGATCCCCATCCCCTTGAGGGTAATGCCCAGCCAAACAGGGTCAGCCCAAAGCAGGCCACTGAGGCCCAAAAGCCTGCCACGAGTCTAAGGCACCTCCTGGTGGGGCCCACAGGAAAGGGGCAGAAGGAGCCAGAGAAGTCTGGAAGGCAAAGAGCAAAATCAAGATCAAGACAAAGGCGGCCATTGTCAGCCACCCCACGGGTCTCCCACCCACGTCTGTTTCAAGTGTCTCCTCCCACGTCCCCCAAGTCCCTGGTCCAAGGCCGAGAAGCAAATGCGCTTCTTCACATGTCTCTGCTCCACGCGCCTCCTC